CTTCGTAATAACCTTTAATATTGCATAGACTTACATCTTTTCCCTACAAGGATACATCATGGAAATGCAGAAATCCCAAAAGTTGAGAACAGAATCAGCGAACTTCTTTGTATGGAGTCCGGTCAAATCCTGGTGGCAGCCATGTTTGTTTTTATTATTAGAGGACGCTTACGCGCGTAATCATTCCATATTTGGAATTCGCATTTCCAAATATGGTAGTATGAAAATACCCCGTAAAATACCGCAAAATTACGGCACGCTGTAACTTATGGCATTACGATGACAGATGTGTAATAATATTTATTATTATTTAAATAGGTTGGTAACCATATAGATGTAAAGACTGGTTTATGGGTAGCATTGGATTCTGGGATTGGTGCTGGTGTTGACTCCTATCTGGAATACCTTGTGAAAGGCAGTTTCCTGCTGTCTAATCCAGCACTAATAGATATGTATAAAGGTAGGATTCATGTGAAAATATGATGTAGGTGGTCTCGTTAGCCAAGCGCTTTACAGTCTTAAAAGGGTCATATTGTGATGATCAAGATATTACGGGAAAATAAAAAAAAATCTTGTGTTTCCTATAACATGCTTTTCAAAAATTTTTATATTTTTTTCTTTGTTACCATTGTGTTTCACTTTTTTTTCTTGCATATAAGAACTGTTTTTGCAGATACGAGTGTTGTAGATCATGTTTGAAGTTGTTTACATTACCCAGTTTTGAATTTCTATAAAATCACACAGCCTGCCACTATTTTGTGATGGCCAAAAGAAGTTTAGTGTACCTATAGTTTGGGTTACAGGAACCACACAATTTTTATTTGTGGCATAGGGGTCCATGTGGTAATCTGATCATCAAAATAATACCCTGGATGGAGCAGTAAAATCAGTGCTAATATCTGAATCTGTTTAAGCTGCTGTAAACCGCTTTTATTTTGTGCGAGGCAAGTCAGAAAATTATTTTTAAAAATTGTAATCGTGAACAAAGGCTTTTTTGTAAAGAAGTCACAATAGAAGATTACATCAGTCAGTTTCTGTGCAAGAATGGGGGGTTAATATCTAGCTCACACAATTTATTCCCTAGTTTCCGGCATTCTGATGATGCAGACAAAATTGGAACATTTTTTACACCAGAGTGCACAAGTTTCTAAGGTAATGGCGGAAGTCAAAACTTGTCAAAACATTCCTGAAAATTATGTTCTTATAAGAACCTTTAAAACATTAACTCACTAAATCCTTGCAGCAAAAATTAAATGATTTACAGTAAACATCACCACCTCTACCCACCCACACATACATACATTGTATTTGTACAGCATTTTATCTCATCTGTCATTTTTGAGGGTTCTGGACATGGCCTGCTAGAGCTCAGAAATCAATGCATATAAATATATACCTGCTACACACCTACTGCATGCATTGGCATTAGTCAGCGACACTGTAACATAACAACTCACTGATTTCAAAGTGTCATTTGTTATTTACCCAACTGACTCTAGTTTGTTGTTCAGAATTAAAATTAATGGGGTCTGTTGATTGCTTTATAGTGATAAGGTGAGGACGTGCAGATGCAGGTGTCATGTGATCCGCACTCCGACCTTTCCTTAATAATTTAGTAAATTTAGAAACTTCATCTTTACTGAGTCATTAATCCAAATCATGTCATTAATCTTATATGGCAACTTGACATTGCAACAATATTTGATTGATTGAAAACAATCTGCTGACATTGTTTTTTTTGCATTCAGTTTGGCTATCTGTGGGCGCTTTCAGCAAGCAATGTGATAACATCTTTACCGATAAATTTCATAACTGATGGAAAAGTTTATTTTTGTTACAGAGTACTCAGTATCCATCAAGCAGTATTTGAAGCACGATGATTGGTACATGTGGGCTAATATGAAGAAGGGTCATGTGACCATGCCAATATTCCAATCACTGGATGCGTACCTACCAGGTGTGCAGGTAAGGTATCAATCAATCAATTTGATCTACTACCTAGTATAGAGGTCAGGTATCAATCAATCAATTTGATCTACAACCAGGTGTGCAGGTAAGGTATCAACCAATCAATTTGATCTATTAACTGTGTACAGGTCAGGTATCAACCAATCAATTTGATCTACAACCAGGTGTGCAGGTAAGGTATCAACCAATCAATTTGATCTATTACTTGGTGTACAGGTAAGGTGTCGACCAATCAATTTGATCTACAACCAAGTGTGCAGGTAAGTTGTCAACCAATCAATTTGATCTACAACCAGGTGTGCAGGTAAGGTATCAGCCAATCAATTTGACCTACTACTTGGTGTACAGATAAGGTGTCAACCAA